CGACCCCCGGACCTCCGACCAGACGGACCCCCGAAGCCACCTTTACACCCACAGCCGCTGGTCTGCGCCACGATGAACCCTCTACCTCCGAGGTTCCACCTCACATCAGGGCTTGGATGGAATCAGCCATCCGCCAGGGCATAGCAGAGGGACTACAACACATGACAAGATCAGGCTTCTCTCCGCGAGCCTCCGAGCACGACTCGATATCTATCAGATCCCTTCCACAACCGGTCCCCCCAGTTGATCAGGTACTCTCTCAGAGGGACAGCCCTCCTCCGATTGGGGCCCAGGTGGAGGAGGAAGGGGACTTTGGGGATTTCAGGGAAGAGGAAGAGGATTCCCGGATGGGATCCTCCCGCTACAGTGAACCCCTCTTAGAGGCTGACATCATGGAAGGGGAGATGTCGGAGGACGAGGACCCTTCTCCCGACCAACCCTCCTTTGGGGGGCTGTTTAAACCGCATATGTTCAAGTCCCTCCTCCTTAAGGCCAAGAATGTCTCTGGCCTTCTTTCCCAGCCCGCTGCAGAAACCCCCCCTGTCCCAGAGGGCCCGGAAGACTCCATTTTCACCCAACCAGTGGTGGAAGCTGAGGTCATCCCTTCCCCTCCCATCTTCGTTGATCTGGTAGCGAAGCAACTTACCTCCTCAGGGACCCCTCCCACTCCCTCTAGCCAAGACAAGAGATTCTTTAATCTCGATTCGGCTCTGTCTAACCTCCTGAATATCCCGGAGGTCGATGACCCCATTGTGGGTCTAGCCTCCTCCTCTACCCCTAGTGAGGCCCTAGAGGCCTTGAAACCTGAGGACAGGCGGGCGGAGCAGGCGCTACGCAGGGCTCACCTATCTGACGCCTGGGCCATTAAGTCAGCTACGGCCGCCTCATTTTTCACGAGGTCCTCTATCCGCTGGCTACGTCAGCTCAAGGACCACATCCCTGCTTCCAATCTCAGAGCTCACCAGGATATAGCGAAGTTAGTGGCTGCAGCCGAGTTCTCGGCTGACGCCACTTACCAGTCGGTAAAATTTTCTTCCAGGGCCATCACGTCGCATGTCACGGCTAGACGCATGCTATGGCTCAAACACTGGCAGGCGGACGTAAAGAATAAGGTCAAGCTGGCCACTGCCCCCATTACGGGAGATAAACTGTTTGGCCCAGCTTTGGAACCACTGCTGGTCGAGGGCCGCAGTAAGAGAAAGTATTTGCCCTCCCTTTTTCGAAGGTCGGAGGCCAGGGGCTCTCAGCCCTTTCGGAGGAGCTTTCCACGCCCCTTCTACCAACCCCCCTTCCCGCCCAGATATCCTAGACCCCCTTCCTTCCGATCCCAGGACCGCACGGACCCGGGCGACAGATCCAGACGCGGTGGCGGCTACAAGAGACCCTTTCGGGGATCGGGAGGAAGGCCCTACCGCAGAAGGTAGAGCCTCTTCCTCCCCCCCCGTTGGCGGCCGCCTCAGCCACTTCGCCGCCCAATGGGACATATCCACTTCCGATGCATGGGTTAGGGACACAATCAGGTTTGGCCTCGCCCTGGAGTTCAGGTCCGCTCCCCCTGATTGTTTCTTCCCCTCCCCCTCCTCAAGGGATCCCTCCAAACGTGCACTAATGGATGCAGCCATCCATCATCTTCTTGACATCCAGGCCATTCAACCTGTCCCTCCGGATCAGAGAGGAAAGGGGTTTTACTCCCATCTCTTTGTGGTGCCCAAACACTCTGGGGGTTGGAGAGCCATCCTGGACTTGAAACGGCTCAACCGTCACCTTATCCAGCGTAGATTCAAAATGCACACTTTGCAATCAATTCTTTTAGGCACCAGGCGGGGAGACTGGTTATCTTCCATAGATCTTTCGGAGGCATACCTCCATATTCCAATCAGGCCTTCCCATTTCAAATTCCTCAGGTTCTGTCACAATAGCCTTCATTATCAATACGTGGCCCTTCCCTTTGGACTGGCCTCGGCCCCCCGGACCTTCACCAAGGTCCTGGCGGCTCTGGCGGCTCATCTCAGGAGCGTTCCTGTCCGCCTCCACTGCTACTTGGACGATATCCTTATTCTATCCCCGTCCAAATCCCAGGCAGTCAGGGATACCAGGGTCACTCTCTCCACCTTACAGGCACACGGGTTCCTAGTCAATTGGCAAAAGAGCCAACTTACCCCTTCCACCCGAATCAACCACTTGGGCGCCATAATTGATTCGGTTTCTCAAAGAGTTTTCCTCTCCCAGGAGAGGTTCCTTAGCATTCAGGCCCTGGTCAAACAGATCAGGCGTTCAAGGAGGGTGGCCTTACTGGACCTCTCTAAATTGTTGGGCAAAATGGTGTCATGCATCTCTATTATTCCCTGGGCCCGTCTACACAGCAGATCCCTCCAGTGGTTCCTGCTCCCATTCCAACGATCCGGAAGAAGCAACTCGAAGGCCAGAGTCAGGGTCCCTCCAAGGGTCCTCACGTCTCTTCTATGGTGGACCAATCCCGCCATCAACAGAGGCCATCTCTTCGCGGAACCTCAACGACTCACCGTCACTACGGACGCAAGCCTGTCCGGTTGGGGCGCTCATCTCGACTCGCTCTCGGCTCAGGGCAGATGGTCGCCGTCCGAGCAAAGGTGCAGCATCAATTGGCTAGAGCTTCACGCTGTCCATCTGGCCCTGCGCAGTTTTCCTCAGATCCGCAAACATCACGTCCTCGTTCTCACGGACAACGTCACGGCCAAGGCCCATATCAACAGGCAAGGCGGCACCCAGTCCATCCAGCTAATGAGGGAAGCCGAGCGCCTTTGCCGCTGGGCAGAATCCAACCTCCTATCACTAAAGGCCGAACACATCTCCGGAGTAGACAATACTCAGGCGGACTGGCTGAGCAGGGCCACGGTGGACCAGGCAGAATGGCGTCTCCATCCATCCCTGTTCGAGGAAGCGTCCAGAATATTCGGCCTTCCGGTGGTGGATCTCTTCGCCTCCCCGTCCAACACTCAGCTTCCACGGTTCTTCTCCCGGTATCCATCTCACCGGTCGGAGAATCACAATGCTCTGCGCTGCCCATGGCCCCCAGGGCTACTATATGCCTTCCCTCCGCTCCCGTTAGTTCCCAGAGTAATACAGAAACTTCTTCAGGAGAGGGCAGACCTTCTCCTGGTGGCTCCCTATTGGCCCAGGCGACCGTGGTTTGCGGATCTCCGCAATTTATCGGTAGCGCCCCCATGGAGGATCCCCCCGGACAGGGTCTCCCTCTCTCAGGGGCCCCTTCTGCATCCGGAGCCTCAATGGCTCCAGTTAGCCGTCTGGAGGTTGAGCGGATCCGTCTGACTAGTGAGAATCTCTCGAGTCAAGTCATCGACACTATTTTGGCCGCTAGGCGACCTCCACTACACGAATTTACGATGCCACTTGGAAGGGGTTCTGCAAGTGGTGTAGCGGGTCTCAGATTGATCCCCTCTCTCCCTCAGTGGCTCAGATCCTAGATTTTCTTCAGGAAGGCCTCCGTAAAGGGCTCGCACCTAACACCCTGAGACGACAAGTTTCTGCCCTCTCAACCGTGGTCTCCTGTGATAACTACGGTTCCCTTTCTCATCACCCCCGAATTAGATCTTTCCTTAGGGGCGCCACCAACCTGTGCCCTCCCACTGTTCACAGGTTCCCCACATGGGACCTCAACAAGGTCCTCGTTTCTCTCACACGTTCCCCGTTCGAACCCTTGAGAGACTCATCCCTTCAGTTTCTCACCTTTAAGGTAGTTTTTCTAGTAGCTATTACTTCTGCTCGTCGAGTTTCGGAAATAGCAGCTTTGTCAGTTAGGAGCGATCTATGTGTATTCCACGCTGATCGGGTGGTCCTTCGTCCTGACCCCACATTCCTACCCAAAGTTAACTCTCCCTTCCATAGGTCACAGGAACTGGTTCTACCAAATTTTTGCCCTAGGCCCTCCAGGGGCAGGGAGGTCCTCTGGCACACCCTAGATGTTAGAAGGGCCTTGCGTATATATATTAAGCGCACTCAACCCATGCGAAGGTCGGAATCCCTCTTCCTATCCTTTCAACCCAGGTCACTGGGGCTTAAGGTTTCTCCTTCCACCATCAGTCGCTGGATCAGGGCTACTATTGCGAGGTGCTACCTTTCCCATTCTCTGCCCGCTCCGGGTGGAATAACCGCCCATTCCACCAGAAGTGCAGCCACCTCGGCGGCCTGGGCCACGCAAGCCCCCATCGCTGACATTTGTCGGGCAGCCACCTGGGCCTCTCCGTCCCCGTTTATCAGACATTATAAAATAGATACGTACGCCTCAGCGGAGGCCTCTTTTGGCCGACGGGTCTTACAGAGGGTCATCAGTGATCCGGAGGGGCCTTCGGGCCAGACGGAGTCCCACCCGTAGGACAGCCCAGCTTTGGTATGTCCCAGTCTCTGGATGCTCCGAGCGGCTCGAGGGAGAATGGGCGTTGGTTCTTACCTGATACGCCCCTTCTCGGCGAGCCGCGAGGAGCATCCAGCCCCACCCTAATTTCTCCGTCTGGTGGGGAATCTTGCTTCAGCCAAGGAGCCAATAGTAGATTAGATAGAATTAATAACCTCTCTTCTCGTTATCGCAAAAAACTGGGGAGACGCTGCGCGATACCACGTGAGGGGGCGGAGCGTTTCCTCATCTAAAGCTCAGCCTGCAAGAAGAGGACTCAGAAGCACATCCCAGTCTCTGGATGCTCCTCGCGGCTCGCCGAGAAGGGGCGTATCAGGTAAGAACCAACGCCCATTTTTAGAGGCAACATCAGGGCTTTCTCTTTGTGCTAACATATGATGCCTCAAATTTAATGTTGTTTAAAAAATCTAATCTGTACTTATTTTATTATGTTATCCTCTCTTTTGGTAAGGATTAGATGAGTCTGTTTCAGAGAGTATTGCCTTCAGAAATGTCTTTGAGTCAATTCAGAATGGATTGCACAGTAACTGTTGCTGTCTTTTGATCATCAAGTATTCAATCAAGTATTTTTCTGTTTCCCTTTGTGCAGGTATGGAGCAAAAGGAAGTGCTGTAAGAATAGAGGTAGTGGTGTATACAGGCAGAGAAGGAAAAAGTTCCCAGGGGTGTCCAATTGCCAAGTGGGTGAGTTTTTATTTTTTAGTAATGTAAGATACATTTGTGTTTACTTCCACTATATTTTCCTATAATATTGATGATGCTTTATGTTCATAAAAATATTTTTCATATTGCTCAAAGAAATTTATCTTACTAATATATCCCACTCTAAACTAAAAAGCACTGTTGTATATAAACATGAATATCAATAGGTATTACAAAGAATACAATTACTGTCCAGATAGTCCTCACTTACCAACTGCATCATTCAGTGACTGTTCAAACTTATACAACAGTGCTGAAAAAACTTTGTCAGCAATACCTGCATTTATGACCTTAGCAGTGGCTTTCAGTTTCGGACCGATTGCCATACGTTCAGTATGTATTGGCTTATGTTGCCCTGCTCTTTGTCCTGGTTTCCCTCCTTGTAGATCAGAGAGATTAGAGGAAGGATTACAAGAGAGTAAGCAGACATACAGTGGGGAATATACTGTACATCGAAAGCAATATGCCATCAGCTGCAAGCATACTATGCACACAGCCCAGTGTATTTCTCATTGTGTGCCTTCTTACTTTCTTTTAACCCCTTTCTCTCCAATGTTACTCAGAGAGAGGGAGAACAAGTTAAGCACAGAAGAAATTGTCATAGAAATTGCTTATTTTTTATTCCTCCCACCCACACTTTTCAGACTGGAGAGTTTGGAGGTGAAGGGATTACAAAAAAGTAAGTAGGCACACAATGAGGCTGTTTGCATAGCACATTTGCAGCTGCCGATGTCACTACATTGTTTTGATGTGCTCCTACTTTCTTGTAATCCTTTCCTCTCCAACAAATGTAAATGCAAACTTTTTTTTTCTTAATTGTCCCAAGTGAGCATTCCAAAGAGTGGGGGAATGGTTTAGGAGGCAAACAAAAGCTGAAGGTATGAAACTGATTAGTTTTGTCAATTTTGAACTAGAAAGCACAGCCCGGACCACATGATTTTCCACTTTCTGATCCCTTCATTTAGTGATTGAATTGCCAATTCCACATAGTCAGTAATGAAAGGAATTGAATAGGCAACAAAATGAAAACCAGGAAGAGAATTCAAGAGTGTGTTGAGGAAACACCACGCAACAGAAACCCATTAGTAACAAAACCCCAAAAGCTCTCCGAAAGAGAACAACATGGCATTAGTGTCAGGAGAGGGATCATCAGAATGAACTCTGCAACCTTTCTCTCAATGAGCAAGGGTTATTTGTCAAACCAGTAGGAGGGCTGTCAATGATCAGAGCAGGGAACTGATGAGGACTGCCTGTTTCCAGCCCCTGGACAAAAAAGTGCAAGGAAATGCACGGCTTTTGCAGCTCTAAATTGGCTACATAGGGATCTCATCTGAAAGAAGCTATTGCTCAAATTCTTGATGGTAACCTTTAACTTTCTAATCAATGCCATTGATCTAAGCAGTTGCATAAATCTTTTAACAATTTCCAGTCTAGACTGCAAGGAGTTTGGCACATTATTTTGAAAACCTCCCTGTCCAGGGAGGGCCCTCACATGTCAAGGGAGCTTCACAGCATGGGCTGCAAGGGGGCTCTTTCAAATATAGACAGACTCCTAGAGAAAGAAGTGGGCGCAGGCTACATGAAGCTCTTTCTGTGGGTTTGATGCAACTAGTCCTTACGTTACCACCACTCATTCAATAACGGATCAAAGTTGTAATGGTGATGAATGAGGGGGGACTTACAAGGGGCCCCTTGGGGTTTCAGCTATCATAGCATCCCCACAAACAAAGTCATTGCAGAAGCTGGTAGGAAGTCAGGTCAGGTGATGTCTTCGTTTAATGACCCACATGATCCTCACTTAACAGTGGCAACCAAGACTGCCAGAACTGCTGTCATGAAACTACATAGTCGTGTAACATTGCACTTTATGATTGCCTCCCTTGACAATAGTAATTCTGGGTAGCAAGCCCACCTGGCTACATGCCCCATCCTCCAGGATGGCAAGGTCCTTCACCGTGGGCATACTACCCTGAGGCTGTCTGGGCTCCTGGCATGGGCGTCACTGCAACCACCACCTCCTCCTCCTCCTCCCCCAGCTGCACCTCCTGCAATGAAAGCCACCTTCAACAGGGACCCAGACAAGATATTATCGTTTTAACCCAATTACCTATATTGGAACCACCCATATTATTGATTGCAAAATATTGACGCAGATTGTCGCTGAATTTTGGCAGTAAACCACATTTCTTAATTCCATGGCAACTGCTTATTCTCCCCAGTGCTTAGCTCTCAACGTCTACACAAAGGATTTGGTGAAATGAACCCTGACAATTTAAAAATACTTTGGATGGTATGATAAGTCTTAGGTTATATACAATTATTTCTGAAGTATTTTGGAACTATCCTGCTTGACTTGTAGATTGTACCTTCAAATCTTGACACTCCTGTACCTGCAAAATATGCTTTGTGTCTGTATGAAGTTTAAAACCTGGTTCAGACAGTTTGCTTTTTACAGTAATGTAATTGGGCAATGATGGCAAACATATGTATATGACTAAGCACGTTGTGGTTTTCATGCTTTTCTTTTTGACCTTTAAAAAGCATTTAACTGGCTATTGAATGCAGTAGAATATTTATTTTATTCATATATATATATATATATATATAGTTAGTCCTCATTTAAGAACCATGTTGGGACTAGCAACTTGGCCATTAAGTGAAGTGATCGCTAAGTGGAACCACACTGTGCTTTATACTCTTACTTCAGAGTGTACTGCACTCTTTCCTTTGCTCCACAGATCTGTGAAGGGCACAAAGTTACTTTTTTGCCGCTGTTGTAACTACGAATGGTCACTTGTATGAGACACTTTCTAAATAAGGACTCCCTGTATTGAATTGATTATAAATCAGTTTTATAAATTATTGGTTATAAATCAATATTAATACAGAATTGGGTAACACTAAATATTCATAAATTTCTTAGTGGTTCCTTCCCCGTTTCTTTTTTTGGAAAGGAAAATTACGATGCAATTAAGTTTGTTTCATAAATACATTCATCAGCTGATTGTAACTCTTGTTGTTATGAACTAGCTGTTCCTTCTTTTTACACAGCAGATGGGGAGGATTACAACAGGATAGCAAAATAATGGATTAGAATGCAGATGTCTATAGGCCGGTGGATTCTCAATACGGTTTCATTTCTTAGGAAACATTTCCTGCAGTTCATGCCAGTGTTGCAGTTTCCTGATTTATGCTAAAATTCAAAATTGTGTGTCAGGCCTGCTCCAGTTTGGTCTTCTAGGAAAGAAATACTCTCGATTCCGTGTGTAGCAAAGAGAATTATTTTACTAAAAAGCCAAGTGGTTACAATAAAGCAAAGCCAGAACTGACTTTTTGCATGCGAAAGCCTTCCGGTTAACTTTCCCCTTTTCATTCCTCCTCCCTGTTGTCCAATTACATTTGAAGAAGGTGTTTTGGTAACTAAGGTGAGCTGGATTGTGAGCCATTACATTCCATTTCCGGGCCTGTGGCCTTGGAGTGGTGAACTGATGTCTTGGGACAGCATGGTGTTTAATTTTGCTTTCCCCCAGCTCCCTCCCACCATAGTTCATGGCAGCCTGGCATCTAGCGAAGAGAAGCTGGACCAAGGGATGGCAGTCCTGTCATTGTGCTGGAAATTTAATTTAATTCTAGAAAAAATAGTGGTGTCCTATTTGTCCTTAAAACAAACAATGTTCATTGTTCTTAATAAAAGTATAAGGCAATTCTTTAAGAAAAGTTTAGCTTTAAATATGTTTGACAGGTTTTTAAAAAGTGTATATATTCTATATATGAGTTACCTATGACAGTGGTCCCCAACCTTTTTTGTGCCAGGGACCAGTTTCAAGCACAAACACCTTTTCAAGGACCGGTGGGGGGGGGAAGAATCCGAGTTTGGTGGTTTGCTTGCAGACGTTTCATTACCTGACTAGGTAACATCTGATGTTGTTACCTAGTCGGGTAATAAAACGTCTGCCAGCAAACCACCAAGTTCAGGGAGCGCCTCGGCCCTGCCTCCCTCAGCCCCATTCCTCAGGTGTCTCCCTCCCTCCCTCAGGTGTCTGCCTCGTTCCTCTCTCAGTCGCTCTCTCGCTGCTCCACCAGCCCTGGAAGAAACTGCTTCAAAGAAGCCGGGGGGGGTGGTGGCTTTTCCTGTCGCCACAGCTCCTCCGAAGCGCCCGTTTACCCCCACCCCGCCCGCCCACCCGCGGTTCAATCCACAGTGCTCCGTTCTGCCTGCCTGCCTGCCTTCTTCGTTTCGGAGCAGCTTCGGCTGATAAAAAGAGGCGAATAGTTATTATGGTGGACCAGCGAGAGAGCGACTGAGAGAGGAACGAGGCGGGAGGAAACCGAAGCCGCTGAGCCAGAGAGCAGGACAGGCTTCGGTTGCTTCCTCCCTCCCCTTCTTTCATTTGTGTCCTTGATCCCCGATCCCAGCAGCATTCACCGAAAGCGAAGAAAGCCGCCATTTTTTTTTATTTTTTTTTATTTGCGGCCCGGTACAGAGTGCTCCACGGACCGGGACCGGTCCGCGGCCCGGTGGTTGAGGACCCCTGACCTATGAGTTTCTTATTGCCAGCTCTGCAGAGTGTGATTTAGTGTGCGTTAATGTTGGCTTGTTCCATGGGTTGTACAGTTTCCATTGTGTCTGCCTAGATAACTGGTGCTTGCTGTGCCAGCGTAGAACTGTTTACTCTTAAATTAAGAGGTTGGCCACAGACACGCAGAGTCTTTGTGCCTTGGTTGGGTTTGGGATCATTCGACTTAGCTTTAGCCCTTATCTAACAGAATCTTGAATGAAACAGAGATGTGGTAGGAAAGAACTTAATCCTGAGACAGGAAGGCAGACAGTTTTTACTATACTGAGAGGTTGGCCCTTCAAGTACTCTTCCTCCTCATCTCTCAGACTAAGAGCTCCATGATCAGTCTTCAACAAATACCAACATGTGGTTTCATTAGCAATAGCACTTAGACTTATATACCACTCTGCAGCCCTCTCTGAG